GGCTGAAAATAGAATCAAAGAAGCATTGAGATGGAATTATATAAATCAAGAAATATTAGGGTTTGATTGGCAGAGCATTTAAAAGAGCATTATGCATTTTATCATTAAAACTTAATTGGTTGATAGAGCATTAAGTAGAGCATTTACTAAATGTCAATGCTCTAAAAAAGCTCCACCCTCAATGCTCTCAAATGAAGTTTTTCAGAGCATTGACCTCTAAATATTTTTAAAAATATTAAAATTATATAACTAATTTATTTTAAATTACATCAAAAATAAATTATATTAAATTTTAATTATTTAAATTTATATTTATCATTATTTTATTTATTCTGTTATTTTAATATAATTTTATGATATAATATTAATTCAATTAAATATAATTTAAATTCGAACAAATTATAAAAGAAATTTATGATATAATTTATAAATATAATATATACAATCATTTCAATAAAAATAAATATACATAATTTCTGTAATTATAAAACATATATATATATATTGTATATATTAATATTTATCAATTTTTTATATGTTCTATCATTTTTTAAAATAAATTTTAATAAAAGTAGAACTTAAATATTAAAATTAATATTTTATAAATATATTATATTTGTCTTAAAATGAAAATTTAATATGTACCATTAATTAATTTGCCATATTATTTATTAACTAGTATTATAATAAAATAATAATTTAATAAAAAATCTAAAAATTGATGTTATAACTATTACTAATATATATATATATATTGTATTAGAATACATATAAATAAGTAAAATAAAAAAAAATATTTTAATTTTATATCTAATCATTCACAGCTTTGCCAATCACTTAAAATGTGCATATTAATCATAGCATACTGCTCCAACTGCGTACTGCTAATACTGCTTTATGCTACTGCTCATCAAAAAGCTATACCAATCAAGGTCTTAGTCTTTGGTTTCTTGATTTAGAATCTGTTTGTATATTTATGTTTATATGAAGGAAACTTCAATGTAAACAAAAAAGAAGAAGAGATACGTTTGAAAGATTTATGGTGACAAATTTGTGTTCTTTTGATACAAGGAGACGATCCGAATAAAAATGAATATACAGCACTCTTTGACAAACTAAAAAGAACTCATACCCTTAAACCAATTTAACTAATAAA